AGAGTATCTGTGCTAAATGAGGCTAATCGAGTGGACTGTAAGGACCTGGTGCTTAACTTTATATGTCATTAGGGTGTGGAATGTAGCGGCCCATCCAGGTCAGGCCTTTCTTCAGACCTTGGTTACAGGTGTACAACTTGTAAATGAAACCAAGTTCTGCAGTGTCTCTCTTCAGTTGGTTTTTGAAATTGCTTTGTAACAGAATAGTCACTTTTAGATCCATTAGTGAGTGCCCGGGCAAGGTAAAATGTTCCCCAACAGGTTTCTGTGTGTTATTTTGAATATCTGATTTGTGTCCATTAATCCTTTGTCGTAGAGACTGTCCAGTTGGCCAATATACATGGCAGAGGGGCATTGCTGGCACTTTATGGCATAGATCACATCTGTGGCTGTGCCGTAGCATGAGCCTCTGATGCGGTGGCTTATGTAATAATGTCACTTGTATAGATGTGTGGCGAGAGTTGGCACTGGAGATGATTGCAGGGGTGGGTTCCTGGACGAATATGATGGAGGTGTGCTGCGTAATTGCTGGAAAGAATTTGTTTCAGGTTAGGGGGTTGTCTGTAGGCGAGGATTGGCCTGTCCCCCAAGGCCTGTGAGAGTGAAGGATCATTTTCCAGGATAGGTTGTAGATTGTTAATGATGCACCGGAGGGGTTTAAGTTGGGGGCTGTAGTGATGACTAGTGGTGTTCTGTTGTTTTCTTTGTTGGTCTTCTCTTAAAGAAGCTGATGCCTGGGTACTCGTCTGGCTCTGTCAGTCTGTTTATCACTTCACTGGGTGGGTATTTAAGTTTTAAGAATGCCTGATAGAAATCCTCTAGGTGTTTTCTCTCTGTTTGTGGGATCGGAACAAATCTGGTTGAATCTGAGGACATGACTGTAAACAATTGATTGGGAAATGTGTCTTGGATGGAATCAAGAGGCATGTAGGTAAGTGTAACAGTTGGTAGGTTTCCATTATAAGGTGGAAATGTGGCTGTCGTTTAATTGTACTGTTGTGTCAAGGAAGTGAATCTTTTGTGTGGACCTGTCCAGGCTAAGGTGGGGTGGAAGTTGTTGAAATCCCAGTAGAATTCTTCAAGGATCTCCTTCCTGTGGATGCATAAGATGATGTCAACATAGCATAAGTAGAGCCAGGTTTCTAGGGGTCGAGATCAGTCATAAAGATGGTGGCATATTGTGGGGCCGTGTGGGTGCCTATAGCTCTAAGGTGTTTAAGGTTTTTTTCAGTTACAGACTAACACTGCTACCCTTCTGAGTGAGCATAGTTCTCATAGGCTCTGATTCAAAGTCCACTGGCGTCAATACTGAGACGTCTATGGACTTCAGTGAGTTTTGGATGATGTCCATAATCAGGATAGTGTGAAGAAGCCATGGTGGTTTTTGAGCCTCTCAGGGATGGGGAGGAGATGAGTACATTCAGGGGATTTTTAACCTTTTACGTCATGCTGGCTTCTCTACCATTAGACTTAAAGGGCTGGGGGTAGAGTGCAAATTTAATTTTCTGTTGTGTGCATTTTGTCCCTGCTGCAAAATTTGTAATCAGATCTTTGTTCATCTCATTTAACTGCCTCTCTGCCAAGCCCTTGGCAAGAGTTGCTAGAAGCATATCTCCTGGCTGTGTAAAACAGTCCCTATCCCCTCTGAAGTAATCACAGGCTTAAAATGTTCTGACAGTGAAAGTGTCTGTGCAAGTAAAACATGATCACTCAAGTATTTTTCGAGAAGCAAAAGGGGCTGGAGCATGGCTGAAGTGCATTCATTTTAAAGTATTTTGCAATATTCACCCCCACTCTAATATTCTTACAAGTACTATTAGAAGCATTTTCTGTATTGGAAAGGTTATGCCTTGACATTTGCAATGGTTTTTTAAAGTTCATTATAAAGATCTAGTTAAACCCTCTGTGGCGTTTAAATAAAAATAGACAGTCAGTGCATTGATAATAGCACAAAAATTCCTTGATCTTTAAGTGACATTTTCTAATACTGAATTGTTATGATTATGCCAGATAGCATATATGGTAAGATGGATTCCCTCTTGTAAGTCTTCATATCTACACATATGCATATTTTACTATATAAGTTTCTTACAAAGGGTCTTGATTATAAAAGCCTACCCAGAAGGGTATGAAAATACTGCATACCCAGGCTCAGTGAGGGCCACGTGTGGCCTGCAGAGCCTGCACTGGGCAACTGAAGAGTTTATTCATGGGATTCAACAGGAGCTCTTCTCAAATGTAGGGGATACAATGCTGTGACATGGGGTTGTAAGGGCAGTATCCTAAACAATAGAAGAGGATGCAAGAGACTGCTTCCTGCATTCATGGAAAAATAAGAGCATGCCCAGAAGTATTATACTAATCTCTCCCCCTTTGTGCACTTTTTTCAGCTCTATGGCTACTGTTACCAGGATAGCAATGACATCCCAGACACACTGACCACTATCACTGAGCTAGGATCACCACTGGAGATGATTCAGCTTTTACAGACGTCCTGGGAGGACAGATTTCGAGTAAGTACAACAAGAAGTGCCAGAGGGGTAGCTGTATCAGTCTGTAACTTTAAAAACAAAGAGTAGTTCTGTGGCATCTAAGAGATAAACAGAAATATATGGAATAATGAACTTTTATGGATAAAACATACCCAAACTCATGATCCTAATTTTTTTTTAAGTCTCTACAGGTATGTCTACACTACCCTCCTATTTCGAAACAGGAGGGTAATGTAGGCATACCGCACTTGCAAATGAAGCCCGGGATTTGAATTTCCCGGGCTTCATTTGCATAAGCCGGGCGCCGCCATTTTTAAATCCCGGCTCGTTCGAACCCCGGCTGGTTCGTGGAATGAGGAGTAACGGTAGTTACTACCTAGTTCGTGCCGCGTGGGGGCACGGGGTTCGAACCAGCCGGGATTTAAAAATGGCGGCGCCCGGCTTATGCAAATGAAGCTTCAAATCCCGGGCTTCATTTGCCAGTGCGGTATGCCTACATTACCCTCCTCTTTCGAAATAGGAGGGTAGTGTAGACATACCCTACGATGCCCCAGGACTACTTGTTTTTACAACAAGGTTATCTAGAGGACTTCTAAGTATAAAAAATAAGAGAAGTTACACAAGTTACAGTTTTGTTCACATTTAATAAACTGCTTTGGAGTGTTGTCTGGAATACTTAACACTCCCATTTTTCAATTTTTAAGATACTGCACTCTTACATCTGTTGATATATAATTATAAGAGTTTCTTGTGTTCACATATTTTCAAAGGTTTCATCCTTGTTAAAAGGTTGGCATTTTTTGGCTTGAACGTTGTGCTCTTCAACTGGAATTCAAACAATAGAAGGATGTGATATCTCCATCTTGAGCCTTATCACAAGCTGATTTTATAATTGTTTCCTGTTATATTACCTTATACTGGGGAGGGGGGAGAGAAGAAGGGTAAAGCAAGGTTTATAAATGTATACAAATCTAAAACTATGTTTGCCCAATGAACCTCAGGTTGGCAATTTAACAGAAACATGGAAGTCATACTTAATTTGCATGGAATGCCGCCCAGATTGTACCTGCCAAAATCTCAACAGGCTTCATTTAGATCTCCGGTCCTGTGAACTGCATTTGGCCCATGAGTCATACTTCAGGTGCCTTGTTATAAAAGAAATACACTCCTAATGATGTCTCAATCAAATTTTTAAAGCTTGTAATGGCTTGTGAAGTATACTGCTGTCTCCCGCATGCAACTGCAAATTATGACACTTGTGCTATAAATTGCAGAAGATGCACTAGATTATTGGTTTGACTATATTACATAGGTTGTGGGTGGGAAGCTTCTCTTTAGAATGGGTATCCTTTACAGGGCAGTTACAGGAAGATGGAGGAGAAATATCTTGGCAGTGTTGGTTCCGGGAATATTCTATTCCTGGAATTGTTGTAATGAAGACTTAGGTAATGTCATAACTATTACCTTATCCAGTGTGCCGCTGTCTTAGAGGAGAAGAAAAAGGATGCTGGAATTGTTTATATATCTGTCCCAGTGAAGCAAACATTAACATGGTTGTTTAACTTTACGCACTCAAGTAATGCTTTTGTGCTTGCAGGACAGGGACTACATTTCCACAAACCAGGACCTATTGAAATCAGTAGAAAGTGGAATGAATGGTGCAGAACTGAGCCCTAAAAGATGTATTTTAATTTTGATGTGGGGTATATACACACAGTCCATATCAACACTGATGCCAGGTACATAGATAAAAGACTAACAGGGCTCAGTACAGGCACTAGGGTTTGTGTCAATGGGCCTTGGTAATGTTTGAGGAAGGAAGAAAGATTTGAGATTGCAAACAAAAATCCCTCTTTGTTTTTTTGCAAAACACGGATACTTTATTCAGGCAGAGTTTTCCATAGTAGTTTATAAGAAATCTGTGAAGTTATTTTTTTATATTTGCCTTTGAGCAGTTAAAGATGTTAATTATAATTGTGTTCAAGCTTGTTTAACAATTTTAGCATAGTGGTGAGGTTATACAATGAGGTTCTGTGTAATGCTTCTGACCCAAGGAAAAAGTCACATTGACATTCTGAAAGTTAAATGCATCATTTTAGTTTACTTTCATTTCCTCAGCAACATGATATGACTTACATACAGCATCCTCTGAAATGCTACATACAAGATTTCTGTATATTTCAAGAGGAACAAAAGAGTAGTCAATGCAGACTTCCCATAAAAATACTTGTATTCATAAACTTTTGATGTTGCTTACGTAGGACAAAATAGTTCTAGGCTGGTAAGGCAGGGGAAATGATTACAGAAGTGCTGGATTGTTTAATATCTCACAGCCGTGAAATCTGTAAAGTATAATATAAGCCATATTTAATCTCTCTTTTTGTGTAAAGTATGTAGAAATATTTCCCTGAGGATATCATTTATGCAGTGAGATTGGACTACTTTAACAAAAAGCAAAGCTTACATGTAAACAGAAAGCTACCCAGCTTGCATAAAACGTGTTGATAACTGAATGGGCATGCTAATATTTGACTGCATGAATATTAATATAGGTTGAACCTCCCTTGTCAGCACTGTTGGGACCTGAGTGGACCCGAACCACAGAGTTTGTGGGACAAGGGGAGGTCAACGCTCCCTACCCATGTGTAGGGCTCTGCTCTTGGCTGGGGCTACACTCCCTGCCACCATGTCCAGCCCTGCACCCTGCCAGCCCTGGCCAGGACTGCATCTACCACTGCACCAGCCCCAGCCCTGCTGCCTCCAACCATGGTTGGTGCTGTACCCCGCCTTCCCCATATACTACTGGCCCGGTCTGCACACCTAGCTGCCTTTCCTACTGACTCCAGCCCAGGCTGGGGCTGTGCTCTCTGCTGCCAGCCCCAGCCAGGACTGTGCTCCTGACTGCTGGCTCCTAGCCCCAGCTGGGACTTCACTCCTTGCCACCAGCTCTGGCCAGGACTGTGTTCCCCCACAGTGCCAGCTCCACTGGGGATGCGCAGCCCACCACCAGCCCTGCTTGAGCTGGTCTTCTGAAATTGGGAAGTCAGGGCTCTCTGGTTCCGAAATATCTGTGTTTCTGCTGGACCACAGATGTTGCCAGACCAGAGAGTCCCGGATTTTAGAGATTCAACCTGTAGTTTTTGTTGTGTTTATATAATACATACAAAGAAATCTTGTTTAGGCATCATAAATGAACTACTAATAGTAGTAAAACCTATCAGGTTAGGTCCACATTTGTAGATTAAAAATATTACTCTTTTCTGTCTAATGGCAAAGGCCAGATAATTCTTCACTCTGTGGCCTAGTCTGATGTACATGTGTGCAGTGGCATTAATTTGAATCAGATTCTGTGTGTGGACATAAGGGTGTGCCTAGATGCATGGTCCCTGAGCCTACAAAAATTTAGCTTTGTGCACCATGAATAGTTTCACTGAGGTCAAACTACTCTCAGTGTGAAAAATTAAGCACGTGTCTGTTTTTAGAGGATAAGAGACTTAGATTGCAAGATAAGGGCCTACGTGTGATGTTTTATCAAAAACAAAAGCTTTTATTTCTATTAATAAAATTGAAACAAAAAAACTTCAGCAGCTCAGAACTCACAAGTAATCCTACAATAATAAAATTGCATATGGGAACATTTCTAAAGAAGCATAGTTTAGTTTCAAGCTTTTAAAGGTTTTCATAATATATATTGAAAAAATAATGTTAAATATTATGAAGAATACCTTGAAGGTATCAACTTCGATGTGATGATAAATGTCATGCCTATATTTTGTCATTATTAGGTTTGTAACTTAATTTAAAGAAGATGCATTTTTTACATGCTCCATACTAGAAAATGACACAGGCTATGTACGCTTTTATATTTCAGATATGTCTCAGCTTAGTTCGGCTTTTGCATTATTTGGCTCACTCTCCTCTTGGCTCTGTGACACTGTTGGATTTTCGCCCTCGACAGTTTGTGATTGTAGATGGAGAGCTGAAAGTGACTGATTTGGATGACGCCAGCATAGAAGAAAGCTCTTGTACCAGTAACAGTGACTGTTTCATAGAGTTTCCAGCAAGAAATTTCACTCTTCCCTGCTCTGTGGAGGGCCGATGTCAAAATATGAATGAAAAGAGGAATCTTTATAATGCATACAGGTAGATAAAATGAATAAAATGACAGTAATTCTGCATAGTTATTTATAGCTATTGAAGTCAATGGAAACGTTGGATTGGATTCTTATAAAAATAACTAAAACATGTAATTTGTGTTGTAAATATTTCATTAATAATACATAACATTAATACCTTGGAAGTACTTTGCAAATATTGGATCTGATTTACCACTAAAGTGTATGTTGATATGACTCTATTGAAGTCAGTTACAAGGTAAATATTTATACCAGTGAAAAACTTGAGTAATTTACTGGGCCCAAATCACTATTGCTAAATTGTTAATGAAATGATTTACCCAGCACATTTGTGATGTAGATTAATAAATGTTTACCATCCCTTTTTAAGTAGGGGCAAACTGAGGCACAAAAATGAAATGACTGGAGAAGTAGAATGAGAGACTGTCTTCTAGTTCTTGCTCTGACCACTAACCACACACCATCTGCCTCTCTTCTGTTGATTATAAAACTTGCTGGTTCAGTTGTTTGATAGCAAAAAGCCTGTAAGGGGCATTGTGCTTTTTTTACTGTAGCCCAAGGATAATTTGGAGAGTAATGTCCCATAGGTTATATTGAATATTCATATTTTTTAAAAGCCATCAAAGCTTTCAAGTTCTCTTTTCTGAATTTACCTCATGTTTCATCCTGCCAACAAACCAACTGTTCCTCTTTGAATAGGCAATGATTTGCTTGCTTCTTGCACTACTCCCATCCAGCGTTCCCTCTAAGCTTCGTGGCAGCACAGCTTCACAGGTGATTAATCAGCCCCGCCTAGGCTCAGGGCTTCATGACTGGGCAGGGCTGATTAATCACCTGTGAAGCTGTGCTACCATGCAGCTTAGGGGGAACACTGCTCCCATCTCATCCATCTCTAAGTACCCTCCACTGAGGTATAGATCCATAATTTATGGGCAGGCCATGCTTATGATGTAGAGGTAATTGGGTGGTATTATGTTTGGCCAGTCAGAACTTTGAAGAAAGCACGTAGCTCAAATGTCTTATCTTCAGAATTTTGTTTTTTAAGGGCTCTTCAGATTTACAACTGAGTGGTTTTCTGTATGGCTGTGTCTACATTGGCATCCCTTTCCGGAAAAGGGATGCTAATGAGACACTTCGGAATTGCAAATCTGCGGGGATTTAAATATCCACCGCGGCATTTGCATTTACATGGCTGCCACTTTTTTCCGGCTCGGGGTTTTTGCCGGAGAAAAGCGCCACTGTAGATGCAATTTTCCGGAAAATAAGCCCTTCTCTGGAAGATCCCTTATTCCTACTTGAAGGGAATTCCTCCCTTGAAAGTAGGAATAAGGGATCTTCCGGGAAAGGGCTTATTTTCCGGAAAATCGTGTCTACACTGGTGCTTTTCTCCGGCAAAAACCCCGAGCCGGAAAAAAGCGGCAGCCATGTAAATGCAAATGCCGCGGGGGATATTTAAATCCCCCGCAAATTTGCAATTCCAAAGTGTCTCATTAACATCCCTTTTCTGGAAAGGGATGCCAATGTAGACACAGCCTATATGTGTGGGGTCTGGGCTCTTTACTGTGATTGCTTAAGCTTGCTTTTTGGGCCAAACACTGATCCCATGGAAACTTTGCTATTAACTTCCATAGGCCCAAGAATTGATCCTTCATGCATAACTTTTGTGTTCTGGCTTGGTGTTGAAGAGCACTGGTGAGACCGCAAGCTGTGGCCTGAGCCAGGCAGGACTGAGGGTCTGAAGGCAATGCAACAATGTTGTCAGGGTAGCCAGTTTTCAACCAGACACCCAGAAGAAAAGGGACCCTCTCTAGCCCTCCCCAGCCCAGTGAAAATGAGTGAGACAGTGAGGGTAAGGGAGAGAGTGGGCAGAGTCAGGCCTTGGAAAAGGCTTGGGACATGGGTGTTCGGTTTTGTTCCATCAGAAAGTTGGCAACCCTAAATGATGCTCTCATTTTTTAGGCTTTTCTTTCAAGCATTACGCCACTTACTCCTTGCCAGACCACAGCTAGAAGAGTCTTCTCCAGGAGAGTCTTTTGCTTTTGTCCCAATGCACTTACTAGCATGTGTGTTACATTATCTGACCACACTGAAATGGATTCCACTACATGACTGTCATATGCAGTCGCGTAGTGCAATTTTTAACGTATCCTACAAAATGTTCCATTTCTATTTGCTTGTGTTATACGTCCTTCTTAGTGAACTAGTTTTTGATTAGGGCCATTTTGCTGGTCTGGCCAGGAAAAAAATTAATATGCAAGTATGCTTTTCAGCCATATAGTATCATAAATGGGAATATGCCCATGACACTTTTGGAATGGTTGCTGGTCTCACTGAAGAAAGCTCTCATTTCTCATCACAGTGGTTAGCACTTGTGAAAGTGCTGTTGAACTATTCCAGCTGCTCATCAGTTTCTAAAGTTCTCATTTTGCAGTTTGAAAAATGCTAATGCTTTTAGAACCTACTGTTGCTTAATATTATGCTCACGTGATAGACCCATACCATGACAGCAGACCCACAGTCTGGTAAGCTGCAGAGCTGCCCTTATGACTGTATCTCTAACAATCTTTATATATGCTCACTCAACAAGGACATAACTACAAGCTACTTTGTGTAGACAGCTAGGTTTTGCAATTCCCAGATCCCCTTGTATTGGATCACTGTTATGGCAGGTGAATGGCAATACAACTTTCTGAAGGCTTGGAAAAATAGTTTCCTGTTCACATCTGGTGCTACTTGGTAGTCCCAATGTGCAGCACATTAACCAATAGTATGAATCTGTTATTCCTGGCTGAATTTACTAGAGCAACCCATGAGAAACATCACTGGGTCAGTCCCCTGGTTCTTAGGTGGATTATTAGAGCTGAGAAAATATTGCACATTTTTTTTTGTAAGTATTGGTTTGGATTTTTAAATTCTTTCCTTCAGTCATGCATGCATCTTGTTGTGTACCCTCAAGGGGCACTTTTTTAAACAATGAGGGTAATAATGAACCATTGGAACAATATAACAAGTGGTATGGGGAATTCTCAATTTCTGGACATTTTAAAAACAATATAGGAGCTCTTTGTAAATGAGCTGGTCCAGTTAAAAAAAGGAATGTAATTCAAGGAAGTTCTGTGGACTATGTAATGCAAGTGTTCGGACTACTGAAAGCTCCCACTGGTCCCTTCTGGCCTTATACTCTACAAATCATAAATGAAGAGATGATGCATAACTGTTAGTGAGCACAATTCAAAGGTTCTTCTGGTGGTATGCAGTAGGATTCAGGGCAGGGTGCATAAACCCTGACAGAAATCGGAGGGCAGATGTCATGTGATGCCTCGTGCCCCCTTCTACTCCGTTGTCTCTTCATGAATGTTCTAGTGTGACTTTCATTGGTACTTAGGTCTACGAATTTCAAAGTCACATGTGCATCAATATTTACATGTGTGAGTGTTCATAACAAAATGCCTGTACCCTTATTTAACCAAGGATCAGAAACAATACTCTTATTTATTCTATCCAATTGTAACTATCCCAACAAGTCTGAAAAGTAAGCTGTGACCTTTGAATACTTTCAAATAACTGCTGGCGATCAGTCACAATCCACTTGTGGATTTTCCAGGTGAAGAGTATTTACCTGATGAATTTTTCATTGCTAATTATTTGCTTACTTTTAAAATGCTGCATTAGAGTGCTGCTTACTATATAAAACACTAAGAAAACTTTTATAATAATCTTACTTAGGGATTTTGTAAATGGTCATTTTGGAAGGGATTAATTTTACTCTTGTATTAAAAAGTTAGTCTTTAGGAAATATTAATTGTATAAAATAGAAATAGGTCAGCTCGATTAGGTCACAGTACTCATTCCTGTAGGTGACATTTTCCAATCAATGGCTTGATTAAAAAAAAATGTGATGTGAAACCTGCTTTATTCTTTCCAGTGTGTATGATTCACTACCGTATAGCTATGTGGGAAAACTGTACTTTTCAGGATAGACGAGGCAACTCTCAGTAAAATGTCCTACTTGTTTTACCATTCTGCTCATTACCTAGTATTTATGTCTGATACTTTCGTTTATATTACCAGATCCTGAACTATCCATCTTTATCTAATGTTCCTCTGAAACAGGGTTTGTAGAGCTTAGTAAATACTGGCTTAGCAATAGAAATTTAAAGGGGCACTGTGAAATTGCTTATTCCTTAAATAATATGGGAATGCTGATTTCACTTCTCTAATTAAAAAAATTGCTGGGCCTGCTTTTCCAAATTGTAAATGTATTTTGTGACATCATCCCCTTTTAACTTGCATTTCCGGTTAGATGTTTGCATTTTGATATCACCAGGCACTGAGCATAGGGCAAGAGCCATCACAGCCAGATGCTTATTTCAAACTTTTGAGAAATTAGGACAGAAATTGTAGAACCTCTTTGTTTTTATTTGTTTCTTTCCTTTTTACAGCTGTTTACTCCCTATGAAAAGTAAAGCAAACTACCTGAATTGCTTGCAGTTGTTTTTTTTCAGCAGACCACGTGCATTCAACATGGAGTCCATTTAGAAACACCACGAATGCATGTTAATTATAACCCTATCATAGGAATATTGAAGATGTCCTGAAATTCAGTGGTGCAGAATGATTCCTCTCTGCCCAACATTCATCTTATAAAGCATAGAAATAATGCAGAACTGAAAAGGAAATAATTGCTAAAATGAAATAAGCAGAAATCTGACATGTATTTTTACAGTTTTGGGGGAAAAAAACCAAGACTTCAGAGTTTGACAGTGTCCCTTTAATAAAGTTTGTCCAAGTACAGACAGCTTTGCAAATGCTCACAAGCCATGGGGCTTCACAGAAAATGTCTATGTTAATGGAACATTTACAGGTAGTTACAAGGCAGCCTTGTGTATAGCAGCTTAGTTTAGGTTTGCCAGACAGCCGTATGACTAGCCTCAGCTATATATTTATTTGATTTATAGAATATGATTATATTTCCTGAATAGGTCAGAGACTTGAGGAATAAAATTCTAATAGTTTATGTTGTTCAGTGGTTACTAGACCCTTGTCAACATTATTTTAAAATACTTACTTTTCCATTGCAGGTTTTTTTTTACATATCTTCTGCCACACAGTGCTCCACCTTCCTTGAGACCATTGTTGGATATGATAGTCAATGCCACAGGTAATCACAGTGTAAATATGTGACACTGCCAAATATGCCTTTTTCATATCACTGTATGTTTATATATTTTTGTGGGGATGAGTGAAGGTGCTATATTTGGGTATGTCTACACTATCCTCCTAGTTCGAACTAGGAGGGTAATGTAGGCATACCGCACTTGCAAATGAAGCCCGGGATTTGAATTTCCCGGGCTTCATTTGCATAAGCGGGGTGCCGCCATTTTTAAAACCCCGCTCGTTCGAACCCCGTGCAGCGCGGCTACACGGGGCACGAACTAGGTATTTCGAACTAGGCTTCCTACACATACCCTTTATGTGTAGGACCAGACTCTCTTCACTTAGGCTAAGTCTACCATGCAGCTGGAGGTGCTAGCTTTGATTGAACGAGAATGCTGAAAATTGCTGGCATGGGCTAGCCACTGGAGACTGTACTTAGTACAGTAAACTTCCAATAATCCGGCACCTTTAGGACCCAGGGGGTGCTGGATTATCAGATATGCTGGACTATCGGAAGGGGGGGCTATGAGGGGTCTAGGGTGGTGTGTGGGGGGATGCCACCCCAGACCCTTCATAGCCCCCCCTTCCGATAATCCGGCTCTGCCCCAGGCGTCCCCGATTCAGCTGCCTGGGGCAGAGCAGCTGGGGTGCTGCCGGGTTGGTCCGGTAGCGCTGCCCCTTGGCGCTGCGAGATCAACCCGGCAGCACCTCAGTTGCTCTTGGGGACTCCTGGGGCAGAGCAGCTGGGGTGCTGTCGGGTTTTGGGGAAGCCTGGGGTTAGAGCAGGATTATCAGAATCGGGGACAGCTGGGGTGCTGCCGGGTTGGTCCCGCAGCACCGAGGGGCAGTGCTGCGGGACCTACCGGCAGCACTCCAAGTGCTCTGTCCCCGGCTTCTCCGAGTCAGCCGCTGGTCAGTTTCAGCAGCGGCTAAATCGGGGAAGTCGGGGGGCAGAGCAGCTCCAATGGTCTGGCTTCCCGGAGCAGTTCCAGGTTCCTGATGGTGCCGAACCATCAGGAGTGCCAGACCATCAGATGCCAGACCAATGGAGTTTTACTGTATCTCAGATGGGATTGTATTTAGGTGGATCGCCCAAGTTACTGCCCATGATACTTTGGCTACACTGCTATTTTTAGGTGCTAGTTTTGGCAGAGCTAGCACATTAATGTCTGTATACCTGAGCTAGGAACTGTATCTCCAGGTTGCAGTGTAGACGTATGCTTAGATTGAAATTCACTCCTGTCCAGAGGAGCCAAGATGAGGCCTATACACCATTTAAGTCTCTTAAGTAGGATGTGCCTTATCCTGGGCCCCAGCATAGAGATGAAGTTCACCCTTACATAGGTACAGTTCCCTTTGCAAGTCAATGATCCTTTGACCAAAGCAGAATTTGACTCAGAATTTGGTGGTACCTGCATGGACCTCTCAGAAGGAACAATCCAGCCCACATAATGAAATTCATGCTGCCCATGCACAGCCCTCTGCAAAATGTTAGTCCCATGTTAAGGGATTCAATGGTGTGAAGCACCTTGAATGGGCTGTCTCCACTGAGATGAATTTAAACCTTGGAGACAATTTATTGCTTACATCTCCTGGATGACATTAGAGATGATTTTATGCTTCAGAATCCAGAGTAGACCATAATATTATCTTTACCATAAAATGACATTCAGACAAGAGTAGCTTGACTACGTCTTAACTATACTTTTGATTTCATGCCAGAGGATTTTTTTCCTGCTTTGTACTCAATATATTTTATGGGGAGGTGGAATGTGCCAGGCTATAAATAATTTCAAATGGAATTCACTGGAAAGGAGTTTTCATCTCTTGTGGGTAACCCATCCTATCATATTCAGACGGGAAGCTAGCTGTCTCAGAACACAAGCTTCTCAGCTTTGGAGACACAAGGTTGGAGCTTGACTCATGGTACATATGAAAATCAATTTGGCAGTCACTTTGTAATGCTTAATGGACTTTAAATCTACATTATCAAAACAACACACCGTTTGGCGCTACTGAATCTTGATCCTTTGGATCTTACTCGAGTATGAACCCTATTATTTCCAAGTTATTTGTCTAAATCACTGTTTTTCCTGTATTTAATTAAAGGAGAACTCCACTGGGGAATAGATGAAACAGTGGCTCAGCTAGAAAGAGTTTTGCATTTATACAAGAGTGGTATATACCTACAGAACACTACATGGATGCCGAAAGCTGGTAAAGTATTCCTTTGACAGATATAAAGTTATTGGCTCTATCTGGATTGTGAGGTGTAGAGAGGAGTAGAAATAAGAAAGAGAGACCAAAAAGGTCCCTGAAGTCATGGACTTTGAAGTTCATAGCAGTGCTTCCAGGGAGTCAGAGTTTCATGGGTACTAAGGAAAGTATTAAGGCTGGTGATTGAATTTATGGAGAACAACCATCAACCATATTCTGAGGTGGAAGTTTGGGATAGGCCAGAGCAGGGAACCCATAAACAGGAACCCAATTTATCTCCATGAATAAGATTCATAGTATTTCCTTATAGATATTGCAGTTGCTGCAGGTTAGAAGCATTAAGCTTCCTATCCACTCTAGAGAGGAAAAATCCCTGCAACCTCCAACAAAACTGCCTAAATTGACAAAAAATGTATACAATTTACATGTTAAATTTTTTCTTTTACATTTTAACAAAAATCTCATGTATAGCACTATAAATTAATACAGTGCTTTTTTTCAAACATACACTTTAGATGGATAAATATTCTACCCCAAAGAACACATTACAAAATATAATATTTGAAAGATGGTAATAGATAAATGTTCTCATTTAGCCAAACCACCACCACCACCAAAAGAAGACATACAGAATTTATCTTTTTGTAATTGCTGTATGTCAGACTTTGAGTGGCTAGAGGGTGAGAGGAGAATATAGTGGTTTTTCTGCACATGTATAGCAGAGAGAAAGAGATGGGTAATAAATGAAGATGGATTTAGGGTAAAGGATTTGAAAAGTTCAGTAAAGCATTTCCCTTGTGTCACTTGTGAGTCAGATTTATTCCTGGTGTATCTCTGCTGACTTCAGTGGGCTCTGACCCTAGAGATGAATTTGGCCTCCTAATCACAAATAATTCAATATTTATTATGTTGTAAAATTGGCAAGAAAATTGTTGCAGGTGTTCATTTAACTTTCTAATGTTCCGATTTTCATCACAATCTTTGCTGAGTGATGCCTGTCAACACAGTCAAATCATTCTTAGCAGCACAATCAATAGTACAAACACATCCTTTGTTGAGGAAGTGCCAGGAAGGTTGAGGTTTTTCTGTGATGCTGGCTGATTCCAGATTTAGCTCCCATGTCAGGACAATATGAGGTTTTGAATTTTAAAGGCTGTCTGTCTTATAAAGAATTGCTGGGAGAAAACCCAAGACAGCAGTGCTAAATGTAACTGCTTGAGGCTTCACTGATATGAGCAGGCTTGAATTAACATTAAGTTTCTGTATTTCATATGTGGTTTAGTTATATATAATCCTGAATAACTATGGCTCAGATTTTGCTACCTTTGCTCAAGTTGGCTAGTGCTCTTGATTGCAAGTAGTCCCATTGACTTATATGGAACTGTTCAGGGAGCATAATGCTACTCAGCATGAGTAAAGGGTTTAGAAATTGCCCTATGTAAGCACGAGAGTACAGTTTCGTGCAATTTTAATAAAGTTATAATTTAATGTAACATTCAGGTTAATTACATTAGCTGAATCCTCACATAAATTAATGGCAGTCAAGGGAAATCAAATATCCTCACAGAAATGACACTGAAACAAGACCTTATTAACTTGTGGGCAAACTTTCACACTTAGATACCATGTCTTCAAAATGCACTGGCCTGTTTCTTATTTGTACCAAGGCCATTTTACATCCATATAATGATGTAAAAAGATGTTAAAGTGGGTGTGTATTTAATGTCCTCCTATTTTAAAGCCCCTTTATCCTAGGGTGAACAGACAACATATGTGAAAAATTAGGGAAGTTTTGATGGGGGGAACGACAAAGCTCCTAATATCAGGACTTTGGTTTCCCCTACTTTATCCTGCCAAAGAAGTGTAAAGAGGCCTTAATGCAAATGAGAATCAATCCCTATGAGTCCACTCGTATTTTTCCTTCTTCACACAGGCTCTTCTCTCATAAGATTTGACTTTTAGCATTCCTCTAGAACAGGGATACTCAACACGTGCGGCCCACATGGGCCTGCATGTTGTGTAGTCTTGCCTTAATCTTTGTATTCATGTCCATCAGTGTGAAATAGATTCTTACTGCATCAGAAAGAGACCTAGAAAATATGCCTGTTTTGGTATAATCCTCCCATGCTGAAACCAAAGCCACTATAGTGGGTTAAAATTCAGGAACTGCATGTGATATCTCTCTTTTAAAAAGGAACATTGGAAGGTTCAGCTCATGGTGCTTCATAATTTGATTTAGCTTTAGAAACTCAGAATTATCCATCGTCTTTAATAGAGAGTTATAAATCTTTACCAGAAAAGACACCAAGGGGATCTCTGAATAAGGAAAAACACAAGCTGACCTTTCATGAAACAGATTTATCTACCAGAGGCTATGGTTTTTGCAAGGAAATCTTTTTCAAGCGAGAAAGGTGATACTGACTATCAGTAGGAAAGTGACCACTAGGAAAGTTCTTGTCAATCTTGCCCATAAATTAAATTTAACAACATGCACCATGGTCATGTCACAGAAGGACTTGGGTCTTAAGGTTTCACTGTGTTTCAGATGTAAAATGTTTTACAGTGGTATAAATTGTATTATACTCTGGAGTTTGCTTCTAAATTACTGAAGCAAAGTACAGAAGGGAGTGGGAAAAGTCGTCTTTCAATACCATATGGCTACATCTACACTGCAGGCTTCTTGCGCAAGAACTGTTTTGCTCAAGAGTTCTTGAGCAAAAATTCTTGCGCAAGAGCGGGTCCACACTGTCATGTGCTTTTGTGCAAGAGCGTCCATGGTCGTGTGGATGCTCTCTTGCGCAAGAAAGCTCTGATGGCCATTTTAGCCATAGGGGTTTCTTGCGCAAGTAACCCCTGTTGCCTGTCCACGCTGCCTTCTTGCACAAGAGCTCTTTCTCAAGGGGGCTTATTCCTCGTGGGGAAAGGAATAACTCTTGCACAGGAAGCCCTCTGTTCCGATGCTTTACTGTAAATTTCCTTGCACAAGAATGCGCATGCAGTGTAGACGCTCCGCAAGTTTTTGCACAAGAATGGTCGTTCTTGTGGAAGAAGCCTGCAGTGTAGATGTAGCCTATATGTCTTCTGTAATTGTAAATAACAAATTATTATGCAGTTGCTATACTGTTTTGAATGAAACTGTGTATTCAAATGCTTTTATACATAATGAGGTATTCGTTCTTATGAGAACCTTGAAAAATGTAGATTAAGACAGGAACCATATATTTCCTTGTAAAGACTTTTTAAAACAATAATATTATTGCCATAACTGCACGGATATTATGCTATATAAACCCACTGGATTTCATGGGTAAAATTGCTTCCTCATTGAAGTCTATAGCAAAACTTTCACTGATTTTCAAAAGAATTATGCTGATTTGCACCAACTACAGTTCTTGGTGCTGGAATCTTAGTCTAACCCCACAATTTTTCAGTAAATTCAGTAGTTGCACAGAAATTTATAAGATGCACTGTAGCTTTGTTGTTCATTAAAGCAAATAGGTGAACCATTATTAAGACTTGAAGTGGTGGGTTAGCCAAACAAAAGGCTTAATTAGCTGAAATAAAAGCAGTTGTTGAACCAAGTACATTTACATAACTCAAGAGACAGAGTGCCAGGGAGTAAAGTAAAATCTGTTTTCCTTTGTTCTTTGACATTTTAGCAGGGTTGTACTGTATGTAAATAGTTACAATGCAATAATAATGTTTCTTAAAAAATACTATAGTAACCTGCTCAAGAAATATTAATAACAAGTATGTGGGGATGTGTAAGAGAGAGAAATGTTGGAGGGTAGAAACAGATCACATAGCCATTATTAGGCTTACCTACAAAAGACAATAAACACTTTCTGGAAGATATTTAAAGGCACATATGTTAGATCTGGAACTACATTACAAACAACTCCCTTCAAGAAGTCTCACAGATTCTAAAATGAATTCTGCTTGACCAGACTTGTGCTCCTGGTGTGACCTATTCCACAACCATAGAGGGCCAGATTGTAGGAGGCCTTTTACTAAGTCACACAAGGATGGAAGAAGCCTCTCCACTAGCTGTCTGTGTACTTCCACTTTAGGAGGACAAGGACTGGGTTTACAACTACATGTGAGGCAGGAGACTGAAAGTGAGACGGGGAGAAGCATGGTCTGATCAAACATTTATTGGCCCATCGGGGCGGCCAACACACTGGCAATGAGTAGCTGTGCTCACCTCACCATCAGCATGCAGCAGCCTCAGAGACAGTAGGGCTATGTCTACACTGGCGGCTTCTTGCGTGAGTAATATGCAAATGAGGTGAAGTGTGGAATATCGCCGAGCCTCATTTGCATACCTAATGAGCCACCATTTTTTTCAGAAGAGGCTCTTGCTCAAGAAGGAGCATCTACACTGCCCCTTCTTGTGCAAGAAAAACCCTCTTGCGCAATGTAAGAGGAGTCCCAGCCACTCCTCCCGCCCCCAACCGGCTTCTGTGCAATCACAGGCTCATAGAGCCGATTGTGGCCCCGCCTTCCAGCCACTCCCCCCGCCCACACCAAGCTTCTGTCCACTGCGCAGCCAGAAAAATCAGAAAATACTGGACATTGCACGTGTCCAGTATTTTCTGATTTTTTTTTTTTTTTACCAGACAGAGAGTGCAAATAATGGACTGTCGGGTAGAATACTGGACACCTGGCAAACCTAACTGCAGCAATATTTAATTTTTTTTAGAATCATATATATAGTAGCCCAATGTCTGTGACTCTGTAACGCTGAAATGCTGGCTGTTCCCTCTGGACAGTGCTGTTGCCTCCCTGGCTGTTCCCTCTGGGTGGCGCTGTTGCCTGAGTCCCATCCTTTGCCTCCCACCATGGCGCTTGGCTGACTTCTGTGCCGCTCAGCCAGGCCACAAGCAGCTGTTTGGGTGCCACGGTCCCCATGCATCACAGGGGTGCTGCATGTGGAGCACGGGGCCCAAATGGCCACTTGAGCTGCTTGCTCCTCTGCGGCAGCCCGGATGAGCGGCGCA